TGGACACAATACATCTATCTCTATCTCTTTAGTTATATATACATACATATACCTACATATATATATATATATATATATATATATATATATATATATATATATATATATATATATATCTTTAGCTTTTTAGTAATCTATAACTTAAAGATGCGCTAAAATTCCAGGGAAACCACTTAAATAGTTAACTCCATAGCTTAAGTATTTTTATGGGAAAAATCACATCGATCCATGCGCTGTTGTTGCAGGTATGAAGCCACAAACTAAGAATATATTAATTAATATTCTTTTGTCTATACTAATATTATAAAGAGGTAAAGTTTGTGAATTGCGAGTTTGTGAGGTTGTAGGGCGTAATCTCTGGATCTACTGAACCGATTTAGATGAAATTTGGTAAAAAGATAGTTTGAGACCCTGGGAAGGACATAGGATACCTTGTATCCCGGAAATCATCCTTAAAGGGGTGAAAATGGGGATGAAAGTTTGTATGGGGAATCAACGAAGTGAGGTTGAGTCGCTAGTAAGTTATATTTGGATTGATAAGAAAAAATACAATGTTACGTACCATAATAACTGAAACAAAACAATAGTTTTTTAGTAGAATTCATTTCCATCTAATAACTGTCCCATAAACATCCGGTATATGTAAGAAAAGCTGTTTAATAAATTGCTCTAATAAAAACTATAAATATACAGTATTAAAAATCATGAAGACAAACGTCCATATGACAATATTATGTGAATAAGCAATTCACGACATAAATTATTATACGGTTCAGTGCACTGGTACGAGTCAGAGATACGTGAATAAATGAAAAATATTGATAGATTTATGAGCGTAGTGGAAAATTTTATAATATTAACTAGAGTTTATTAAATATTTTTATAAACACTAGCGACTTACTCTCGCTTCGTTTGAGTGCGCCCCTAGGCACCTGATTATAGCTTATGTGTTATTCCAGACTATAGTTTATCTGTGTACAAAATTTTATCCAAATCTGTTCAGCAATTTCAGTGTGAAGGAGTAATAAACGTACATACAAACACAAACTCTTGTGTTTATAATAGGAGTCCGACTAGTATACACTCGCGGCTCCGCGCACGTGCAGTGGCATAACGTCAATAAAAGTTAAATCAGGACAAAAGCTATCACCATTCTGAATTTCTCTTGAATCCATTGAGCTGTAACAGCATGAAGGAGCCCCAAAAACTATATTCACTCACAAACTTTTGCATTCTATACATATTAATGTAATGCTATATCTAAACGAAGTAACCGTGTGCGCATGCGTGTGTGTGTGTGTGTGTGTGTGTGTGTATGTGTATGTGTGTGTGTGTGTGTGTGTGTGTGTGTGTGTGTGTGTGTGTGTGTGTGTGTGTGTGTGTGTGTGTGCGTGCGTGCGTGCGTGCGTGCGTGCGTGCGTGCCCGCGTGCGTGTATATGGCTAACTCTATTTTCCTATTTCATCTCACCAATGTTTCCTAGTGACGTCAGTGTCCCGTCCCGTCACATTAATTTCTATATGAAGCCTATATATGAAAATATAATATGTAAGCGATCAGCTTAGTGAAAACAGTAGGTATCAAATTGTATGAAACGGTTCATAGCTTATAAAACAAAGCGCATCAACAGGCAGAACGTTTGTGTGTTCGGGCGTTCGTGCAGTAGCGAATTTTATTTACATTACTTAAATATTACCTCAAATTATAAATAGATAGTAGGTACATCATAAATATTACTAAAATAAACACTATTCTGAGATCTTGTCTGTTTCACTGCTTTCGATTCATATAAACAATTTAAGTTAGATAGTGAATTGCAAACATTTTACCCGTAAACTAAGAAATCTATCACAATTGGTCTTTATTGTTTCTAAATATATCTGAAATGGAAGTTAAAGCATAAATTATTATTAAAAGAATAATACAATTAATTTAATCATTATGCGTGTTATACAATCAGCCAGATTTTGCTGGACTCGAACCCGCTTTCAATATGAGATCATAGTCCACAACGTTATACGGGTTAGTAGAGCTCACAATTCACATTCTTTCAATTCACAGTCTTTAGAAAATTAATTAAGTTCTCTCAGACGTCCAACTTTCCTTATAATGTTTTGTGTCACTGTAAGGCGAGTGGTATTCATGATGAAAATGATTCGGACATGGAAATATCGTTTAAAGTATGGTTCTATCTATAGGTTTTCCAAGCGAGATAGCATCAATGATCTACCTGTCACTACAAGTGTACATCTATACTATAAAATAATGTTATTGGAAGATGTTTGACATAAAATAGAGACCAAATAATGGTTTTTTAGATTTTTGTCTGTATATATATTTATGTATGTCTGTTTATTAAACCGGGCATCAAGAACTTCAATTGGGCTATAGCTTAAACGATACACACGAGGGTGGAGTCCTTGGCATTTGTTAGTTATTAATTAAAATAAGTAAACATGAAGCTATAATAATAATGTTTATTTTTCGTTAAAATCTGTGAGACAAGAGAGAAATGAAATGGATATAATAAAGGTTTAAATATCAAAAGGGTAATTGTATTATTTGAACAAATTAAATTCATTCATTAAATATTTATTACGGTTAATATCAATTTGAAATATAAATTATAAACAATAAACGACAATTGAAGCTGATAGAAATAATTTTATTTATGACTATCAAATAAGGGAGAAAATAATAAGTTTACGGGCGGAGCCGCGGGCAATGATAGTTCTAATATAATTATTACCATTACCTGCTTCATTCTAGAGGCGACAAGTTAAATTATTGGGTAATACTGTCAAATAAATATTGGTTTTAATAGCAGGACTGCTATTGAAAACAATAATTGTTTGGTCACAGGATGGGAATAGGAATTCACCGTAATGCCGTTAGTCCTGGGTTTGATTTCTCATAGTTTATATCGTAATTGTCTTTTCATCGGACTATTAGTAAGAGTGAAAGATAGACATATTTGTCCGCTGTAATATATTCCACACGGATAGTTTTTTTACGAAAACTAAAAAGAACATGTTGCTTACTTTTTTTTACTGCTTTTTTAATTATTTGTTTAGAGGTATGTGTAGCCGTATTTGTAAAAAAACTTAAAAAATGTGGTGTTTATTATAAGATTGTTAGTTATAAAATACTTCCTCTATAGGAACTGACACAGACGGAAGCACATATGGCGTAGACATACTAATAGAGCTCCGATCCGGCTCTTTAACTATAAAACCACAAAAAATGATTGAAATTGATTTCAATAGACGAAGTTATAAAAGATTGTATAAATTGTTACAATTTTCCTGAGATTCAAAATGTCAGATTTAAAAAGGGTGCTATTATTCAGCTTTAACTTCAAAAGATTATATCTTTATGTGTCGTTTTGTATCCCATTTAATACTAATATTACCCTATGAATCTTACTAATGTCTAATATAGTTATTATATGATCTGTGCTAATATTATAAATGTGAAAGTTTAGATGTTTGGATGTTTTTACTCAATAATGCCAGAACGGCTGAACGGGTTTGGGTGAAATTTGGCACAGAGATAGATTATAATCTGGAATAGCACATAGGCTACTTTTTATTCCGAAAAAAAATTACAGTCCCGTGGGCTAGATTTGCTTTTGTTCTTTACTAGGGTGGATCCCGAGCGAAACGAGTTAAATTTAAATATATTTAAATTTAAATTATATCTCGAAACTACCAGAGCCTCGCCTACATGTATTTTGAACACTAAGTAACCATTAAATAGACAGACAAAAATATAAGAACTGCAGTCAGCGTGTTTAATCCTCGATTACAACCTTCATAACTCATATTATATGTATACAATTAGTATTATTGTTGGCGCTAAAAGTATCAATTAATTACACGGTTGCGTTCATATTGATAAGGCTAATTTTCTATAATAGATTTCAACACGCCATTTATTAACCTTTGAGGTTGAACAAATAAAACTTGATGCGGGTTACAGAGTTTTACCTGACAGGTGTACTAAGTTCATCAGCAGCTCTGCCTTCGCAGCTTATTTATGTATCATTATAGCGAAATTTGAGATGATCTTTACCATGGACATGATCTCAGATTGGCACCGACTGGCAGTTGGTATAATAGTCAAGGATCTGTAATTTTAAACCATTTACATATAAGTATACTAATGTCTTTTTATAACTGAAGCAACTAAAATTCACCTTATGTAGACACAAAAAATAGTCCGTTAAGCTGCAAATGCTTGCTTGCTGTAGCTTTCTTTTTGTATTTTATTATACCTAATCAAAAACTTTTCATACACAAAAATCGATTAGTTCTTTTTATATACATATATAGATATAAGATAGTCATTATTTAAATAAAGCGGATAAATTATGTTTAATTGACTAATTTTATAGCGTAGATTTGTTGGCTGTGAAAATATTTTTATCGTCTAATCTTCTTCTTCTTCTTCTCCCTGTCCATTTCCCAATCACTTGGGGTCGGCGCAGTACATCTTCTGTACTGCTGATAGGATTTGGCAAAAGTTTTACGACCGGCCGCCTGCCTGACGTCAACCCTCCTTGGGAATGCTATTGTCTCTCTTTGTCTGAATGGTGTCGCGGAAGTCTTGTAATTATTATGCACTTTCGATTTTGTTGTCTTTTAAAACATTTTTTATATTATTACTTAAATTTTTAATGTTATTTTGGATATGTTTTAAAATAAATTTTGAGTACACAATAAATTTTATTTTGAAATTTTTTATCGTCTAATATATGTATTTAATATTTGTATTAAAAGTCTTTTAGAATCAACAAAGGTAGTGAGTAATACTTTCTTATAATACTTTCTTAGATTTACGCGAATATTAAATTATTTAAAATTATTTAAACGGTAGTGAGTTCAATTTTCATAAGAAATGAAAGTTTGTGTTAAATATTAATAGTATATTATGCGGCAAAACATAAAAGTAAAGCAATTTTGTTTATTATAATAATTTTTGTATAATTAAATATCGTTACCTCCAATACCCTCTCATATCTACAAGAATTGCCAGAGTGCTCGCTCTCGGCAGGCCTTTCCGTTTTCCTTCAAATGCGTCCAGCCAGAATCCTTCCAATTTCCTTGCTATGTACTTTTTAACTTCCTTTTCCAATTGATAATAATATTTTATTATTTATACGAGTATATTATAATATTAATAACAATAATAAAAAAAATTAAGTTTGGACTGATTTTTGTTAGTCTGTAATTTTGGATTATATATCACAACCATTTTATCCAAATTTACTTACTTTTAATCTACGAATAAATAGACTTATTATTTATTCGTAGCTTTTAACAAATTCACTTCTATTTTTCTTCTTACTAAACTTCATTTGGGAAATATGTTCTGGCAACATTACCGTTATCATAATTCACGGAGATTTATAAACAAATTTTAAATAAAGATTATGAAAATATGGCAAAAATAAATCTTTTGTTCTTTTTAATGAAATGGAATTATTAGAAGCGATAAAGTAAATGAATTCTTGGCATTATTGCAGATGCCTAAATACAGAAGGAAATGGTTGCTACTCCGCATAAATTGTTTGATTTTCGGCGTCCGATTTAGTTGTATGATAATTTTTTAACCAATAAATAGATACAAGGCCCTTGCGTATATCAAAGTTAAAATTTAAAAAAATGACGATTTTTTTTATTTAGGTGCTTCAAGGAAAAGCGTTTATCATTATAGTATTTTTCTTTTATTTTTTGATAAATAACTAAATATCAAAATGCTTAGACACCGACAATGGTGGAAGTCACTGATTCTATTAGTGATGAGAATGATTCTGAAAATAATTATTTTGCTATTGAATTCACAATATAATCGTTTATCCTGCAAGGCTTTAAGTCTCTCCGAGAGTGATAATGGTTAGTGAAGCGTAATCAACAGGATGACACAGTAATATTTTCATGTCGACTAACTTAAGTGATTATCTCAAATTATTTCGTAGAAACACGGATAAATACATACATACATCATATAGCGACGCTGATAGACATTATTAGCCACATACATACGTTAGCCACAGTAAATTATTATCTAGTCAGTCTTTTTTTTAAATAGAAATAGAATTTCAGTGAACAATGTACAGCTAGGTTTTTTTATTTCCATTTAGTGTGTTATATAATGTAACTTGCTTTGTGTAAAAAATATTACAAGAACAAAAAAATAGATATCACAAGAACAAAATGTTTTGTAGAATATCACCAAGTTCCGACAAATTTATTTCTACTTTATAAATTTAATTTCTATGTAAAGAAAGTAAAATACTTAAGGTGCTAATTTTCACAATATATTGAGTTAAAATTAATTTATTATTCGAATTAAATCATTTTAAGACTGCATTTTTGAATTTTGTGCCTTATGTTTATGTTTATTATCGGTATTTCTCTTTATGGTATATATTATATTATATATATGTAGTATGTACAAATTAAACAAAAAAAATTCCGACGAATTAAGAACCTCCTCCTTTTTGGAAGTCGGTTAAAAATAAGAATGATAAGTGCATGAATTTTTGCAGCTTAAAGGAATTTGGGTAACACTAAGCCCATCGCAGTGGAAGCCGCAATAGAGAAATGGGATTGCAATCTAATTAATGACAAAGATTCAGATAGCGACCGTATTTGTAATCAATTGATTCAGGAACCAAGTTCCATTGTTATTTATCTCTATTTTACATTTCTTTACTACTTCAACCTTTAAAGACATGCCTTTGAAATATGCTAGCAAAAATTTTGCTTATTTTTTCTTTCTTCCTGATCAGTATATATAACACTAGCATTGGTTTTTCCGTGATGCGGTAACAGACAGGCAGACAGACAAAAAATCTAAAAACTATGGATTCTCTGTATCGATAATAATGTCTATTTCGACAAGAATTTCCAAAAAATATTTTAATGTACAGATTCGGCTTAGTTAGAATTTTATTATATGTACAGATTATATTATACATTATATTTTAAGGCCCGAGTCAGGGTCTATTGTTGTATAACATGAAATTATAATGCTATAAATAAGTAAAAATATGGAATATATTTGTTGGAAAAGCCAGTTGATGATTGATGTAACAAAAGTGTGTATATGAAAGGTCTTACTCTTTTATCTAATAAAACTCTTTTTGTTGTACAAGTAACGAGCTGAATTAATTACATATTAAAGTTTAAAGTTACTTTATTTGCCTAAGGAAAATAAAAGTTAGAGATTAGTAAGTCTACAATTATACACGTTCATATATTCGTACGAGTATGTTTGCCTCGGTGGTCTAGTTGCTAGTATGTACTGATGCAGGAGGTCCTAAGTTCGAGTTCCAGGTTGGCCTAAACTTAGTTATTGAATTTTTCTATTAAGAAAAAATCTCAGTAATAGCCCGAAGTTATAAACTGATATCTCACCTGTTGTGTCGAATTGTCGTCCCACCGAACTATGAGAGCACTATAATATCTTCCACGCAAATGGTTAGTTTCGGTGAGATTGGCCGCCGCGGCTGAAATTGGTCCATTAGTGTTTTTGGAATTCATTTTCAGGAGAAACCATAGGCAGTAACTAAGTAACATAAACATAACAAACATATATAGAATTTTTGTTGACTAAAAGGCTGTATTTATTGAGCGAAATCTTTGCTTTGTTATCTACTTATCTGAAAAGATACGTTGTTTGTGTAATGTCCGTACTCTCATCTATTTAGAGGATGCTTTATTTTATCCCAGAATAAACACTGGAGCTAGTGTGGTTTTAGCTTTACAGGTAATTTTTTTTGATGACTCGTGTATGGTTGTGCACTTACTAGTAAATATACAATAGATAAAGTGTAACTTACATGTTTAATCGAATTTTTAAATATTATCAACAAAAAAGTCATTATCAACTTAATAAATAGAAACTTATAAAAGAGTTATATATATTTCTTAAATGTTATTTATATTTATTGTTAGCTGTATGTTTATTGCACCTTAGTATCCAAAATTAAATCGTTGAAATGGTTTTGTGAGGTTATACTTTACTACTACTGTATTTTTTTCAATTTTAGATTATAGAGAGACAGAGAAGGAAAGGGAGATAGAGAGAGAGGAAGGGAGAAAGCGAGAGGTAGAGGGAGGAGGGTGGTTGAGAGCAGGGGGGGTGAGAAGAGTATCAGAGGGAGGGACGGACAGGGTGGGAGAAAGGGGAAGGTAGAGGGAGGGTGAGCGAGAGAGTGCTGGTGAGCGGGGAGGAGAAGGGGAGAGGGAGGGGAGGGGGAGAGGGAGGGGAGAGGGAGTTAGAGAGGGGGAGATAGAGGGAGGGAGAGACGAGGAGAACCACAAAAAGGTTACGATATAAACGCAAAGCCCGTAAAAGGTGAAGCCGCGGAAAAAGGTACTATAATAACAGGATATATATAATAAGAACTAAATACGAAGCCTTAACATTGTAACCTTCGTTTATAGTAATAGTATTTAATACATACATATTTTTTAGGATCAGGCCCTTATTCCAGTATTGGTGAGAAATATATGTATATGTATATTCAGTCTTTTATATAATGCTACAAGCCACCTGAAACTGAAGTAAACGTTGACAAATGTCTACAACCACATACCATAGGGAGAGTAATAATAGTTATTCATGAGGCTCCCCACGTGCCAGTCTAAGTATAGATTTGTACACAAGCAACGTCTGTACTCGGTACCAATCTGTTCTGAAAGCTTCTCCGTTAACATAACATTATAATAATTGTTATAATCAACAAAGTTTATTACAGATTGATGGAGGTTAACAATGTAGAAGTAGGTGAAAGATTTGGGTGTTTCTTAGATATTTAATATTATTTCTGACCTAATATAGAAAGTACTAAGTTCTTCCTGTCGGCTCACTCGCATTAAGGATTTTTCTTTTCATTATAATAACTTTTATCTGTCGACTTGCTTTTTATTGTTTCTTTGCTTGCGTTTTTTTTTAGTTTTAAAGTCGAGCGCATTATCACTGGGCTATCGTTGCCTTCAATGTTGAGTAACTATCGATAGAAAGATTATAAAATGCAAAAAGAATTTGTAAAATTTTAAAATAATAAATTTTATAGTAGGTCTACGAATAAATAATAAGTTATTTATTCGTAGCAGGTACATTTCCTTTCTTATAATAAAAATTATAAAATTATTATACAAAAATGGTTAGTATGTGCGAACCAAATATAATTAGATAATTTACAAAAGATTGAACTGTACAGGAATAAAATTACCTAATATAGGCTAATATATAATAAAATACAGGAAATTGTGTATTTCCGGATTTACTACTACTTACCTTTCGCCACTTATTTGTATCATAATGAAAGTTTTATGAAAATATTTTTAACAAAAAGATTTTAACCTCTACTTACTACTTAAGTTCTATGACGGCTAAATGATATTTGCTTGCGCCGTATATGAAACAAAAATGTCTGGAATTTTCTATAGTAGTTTCCAAATTAATATAAGTTGATATGTGAAACTTGATAGTGCTAGGTTGTTGAGGGTTGACATATTCATGTGTCTCTATGTACACTAAAAATAGGTAGGGTAATCTCTGAAACTACATAGCGTGGTGGTGGTGGTGGTTGGGCTACATACATATTCGATTACTAGCATTGCCCGCGGCTCCGTCCGCGTTCAGGTGACCAAAAAACAAATTCTTAGGTTTTACATATTAGTATACTCTTACAATGCAGTTATTGTATTTTTTCTCAGAGTTGAGCTATTTTCCCGCCGTAAAAAGTACCCTATATGTTGACCCGGATAACCAGCTATTACCATAACAAGTTTCATCAAAATCCTTCCAGTGGTTTTTTTGAGATGCGGTAACAGACAGACAGACAAAAATTCTAAAAACTATAGACTCGGCCTCTGTATCGATAATAATTTCTATTTCAATAAGATTTTCCAAAAAATATCTAATGTACAGATTCGGCTTGGTTACAATTTTATTATATGTATAGATGAAAATTTTATTTTACTAAGAGAAAGCTATATTACCGCCGAGAACTATAAGACTATTTCTTATTCCGATAAAAATGTGCTTACGGTCAGAAATCACAACAACTTTAATTGAAGTCAGAAAAAATTCCGTTTAGCTACTTTATCCGCTACAGTTAGGTACCAAGCAGGGATATTGTAGATATGAAATTTTGGATCAGTATATGGTATATAGGAATCGAATTATATCGGTTTCGGATACGGTTACGGATATGGAATTGTTTCAGATTATCCGTTAGTTTCGGATAGTTTCGGTTACGAATATTAGATTAAAGTAAAATAAAAATAGTATGTAATAATTTGGTTTTATTTCTAGGTTCTATCTAGTCTAGGTTATCATTTGGTATTACAATCAGTCATAATAGTTAAGTTACTATTATATTTACCTACTCAATTTTACTAAAAATGCAATAAGCTTTCAATTCAATTACACTTTATAGTACACCAAGAAAAAGACACAAAACAAGTTTCATAAACACAACAAAGAAAAAATGTACAAAAGCATAATATAAGTAATGAATCCATAACAAAATATTAGGTTGTCTATCACCTAATCATAGTTCTAATAGTCAAAACTGAGCAAAAGAAGATAATATTTAACAGAAAGCAATTTTATAGCCTTGTCACAAGAAAGTCGATTTCTTAAGGGGTCATAAATTAACCCAGCAGCACTTAAAAGCTGCTCACTCGGTACACTGCCAGGAGGTGGAGAGAGAAAATTACATAAGCTATGGTACTTAGTAGGTATGAATTTTCCACTATAAAAATGGATCATGTAACCATAAAAGTTGTTTAAATTTTGCCGAATCTACATTAACTTGATTAAAAAATGTCCAAATTAAACTCGACTTTGGACGCACTTTGTCCATATAAAACAAATTAAGTACGTAGCACAACACTTTTCCTTCATTTAATTAAACCTTTAACCTACCTACTCGTAAATAAAAAAATTACTAGTTATGAAAAAGGTTATGTTATGACTAGAAATAACAAACTATGGAAGATTCACGTGGCGCGTGAGCGGTGAAACAAAAACCTGTCGTAACATGTTTTATTTAGACTCCGTCCTTATCCGAAACTATCCGAAACTTTTGTAACGGATGCGGTTACGGTTACGGATATATTTTTATTACGGATATCCGATAGTTTCGGTTACGGTTACAGAGTTCCATAACATCCCTGGTACCAAGGAACGCACACAAGCAAAGCGAGGGTAAGTCACTTGTTTAAAGGTATCGCCATGGTCACCCACATACACATAAGTAAACGTTTCATTGGTAGCTTAGTAATGTAAGCATTACACACGATGTTATGACACCATAACCATGATGTAGCTATGATGTAAAGTCGTAAAACTCATGATGTTCTGCCACATACGTACAGTATAAAATTATAGCACGATTGATCCATTTTGGGCACAGTAGACCAAAAGTTATTTTAATCGAAAGTGTATAGAAGTGAAATGATGTATTTTCTTTTCCACTTTAACATTTTCCTTCGACTTTATTAGTTATCTAATGTATCTGCACCATCTATCTTATTCCATCTGACGGCACTTCATACACGTAATTTAGGGGTAACAATAATTATAAGGATGAAAGGACTTTTTCTCATCGCCTAAGTATATGAGGCTGTGAAACTCAGAATTTAATAGTGATACTTATTTAAAAAAAAAAGGTAAAACAGCTTCTATTGAATGAAAATGTGTGGCACTCGAGGGTCCAATAGACATTGATTGATGAATTATCTCGCATCCGAGCCTTCGTCCTTCTACTCACCAAACCAAAGGTGTTTACGAACTACACGAAGCCTTCATAGGTAACCGAATAAAGAACATTGTCCTCTGATATAATAAATAAAAATACATGATATATAAATATATATAGATTTACCTTTATAAACTATTTTCATACAAAAAAAACCTTGTAATGAAAACGTATTTTCATGAAACGTGTACCATTACTAAAACTTAAAAGTTTCAATGTATGATAAACTAATTCTATTTTAATATGAAAATATTTTTTTTTATTTGCCACAGTGTTACCCAACACCAAAAAAACTGTTTCTTTTTCATGGAATTTTTATGTTTTTAACTAAAAGAAACCATAAAGCAGTGGTATTGTTTTTGCTCATTGAGCAATTTCGTTTGCTGAGACAACTGTAAAGACAGCAACTGTAACTCTAACTAAACTTCGGCTAAGGAAAACAAATATTAAAATAAAATGTTCCTGGAACATTTTGACATTCAAAAATAAAAAAAGATATTCTGTATTTGTAGTTAAAATCGTGGCTTGCATTATTATAAAGGTAAAACGATTAAAGCATGAATCCCATTAGTATTCTGGAATAAAAACTCTTTGCAATTAGATATTACTGTATCCACGTTATATCCTATTTCATCTACATTATATTTGTAGTCTATACATATAACAAAATTGTAACTAAGCCGAATCTGTACATTACATATTTTTTGGAAAATCTTATTGAAATAGACATTATTATCGATACAGAGGCCGAATCTATAGTTTTTAGAATTTTTGTCTGTCTGTCTGTTACCGCATTACAGAAAAACCACTGGAGGGATTTTGATGAAATTTGGTATGGTGATAGCAAGAAGATAGATAGAATTTTTATAGCGGGAAAATATCTCATTTCTGAGAAAAAATGCAAAAACTGCAAAGTAAGAGTATACTAATATGTAAAACCTAAGAATTTGGTTTTTGGTCATTTGAACGCGGGCGGAGCCACGGGCAATGCTAGTAGTACTATAAAATTGCCAAAGCTATTTCTTTCTTCATTATTTGACTAATTATTTGTCAAATTAGGTCAAAACTGTGACTAAATTAGCCTAAAATTATGCAAAGTTACCGTTTAAGATGTAAACTGTTACTCAAATAGCATAAAAGCACTAAACAACACGTATATTAGCTTAATTTTGATATAGTGAATATGTAAGTAGGATATTACTAGCATTAATCAGGCCTCCAGTTTCACTGAAGAAAATCGTTAACACTCGTAGAGACAATAGCAACGCCCACACAAGTGCTTAATTGTGATGCTTCTCATTGTTATATACTTTAACATCTTTTGTGTTACTCTTTATATATATATATATATATATATATATATATATATATATATATATATATATATATATATATGAAAACTTACAGTAGTTTCTTCAAAATAAACAAATATTCGGAATAATTTAATGTATGTTCGAAGCGTGCCAGTTGAGCATATACGACTTCGTCAGTGTCACGTAGAACGAATGGAGAAGACATGAAGGAGATTTTACATATTCATATTATTATTAAAATAATATTATATTGCTTATATTTCATTTTAATCACTATCCAATATCCATTTGGATTAACAACGGCTAACTAGTAGGATTAGCTTTGACTAATATCAGACCTTGTCTGATTGATGTAATGAAATTGAATATATTACAGAATAAGTTTTGATAATTAATATAGGCAATATTATTTTATTTGCGCATTACATATATATAATAGTCATTAAATTATATTTAAAGAATTTTCTGAAATGAATTAAACAAACTGTTCGTCTCAATTTATAATTGAATTTAATATTCTTAGGATTTTATTGGGACGCTGAAATTTTTTTTTTGATAATTAATATATCATGGGGTAGTTTGTTAAAAATTGGGCTTGATATAGGCGAAAATAAATACAATATCACATATTACTTACAGTTCGACACAAAATTTTTGGGTTGTTTATTTTTCCTCACAAGTACAGTCAATTTTGACTATTCAACGTCTAAAAAATTACGTTTTTCGCATCATAAAATTAGATTCGAACTGTCAATCTTCACTGCAGAGCCCCGCGCTCATTAGACGAGTTACCAACAAATGTAAAATATATAGTAACATTATTGCTAGCAAACATTATACTAAATATATCATTGCACTTTATTCAAAAGTAAAATCTCCTTTATATAGTTGGATTTTTCTTTTGTGTTTTCCTAGAGTACCCAAAGCTTTAAGCTCTCTTCCAAACTAAAACAGGGGTTAATAAAACTTTCGTAATCATAGCCATACTTCGCCATAAACTTCCTAGTCGAAATACTTTCTCAATGTGGTTTCTTATACTAGATATCCTATAAAAACATCCATCAGCTGAAAGCTGTTTTGACAAATTGCTGTACAATATAATCTTTGGTATAATAAGGTTTAGACGTTGACATGATATAAGGTTATATATTATATCACCATTAATTCAGCAGACGTGCTTCTTATGTGAAACATGTCACCCGTAATGAAAGCTTAGGATCGGGTATTCAATTTCATTTATGTTGATATATGTTAGGTTGATAACAGGTCCTGCGGAAGAGGCTGACCGATAAAATTGGATCTTCATCAAAGACGAAACGAACTTAATTACGATTTTAATAATTTTTTTTTATTTTCGCCAATTACATTTTACATACAACAATACGTACAATAGACGTGTCGGACCGTAAAAATATATATCCGCGGATACGAATACGGATACGGACATTCGTATATTATATATATATATATATATATATATATATATATTGCACCACTAATTTTATCTTAACACGCTTAAGCAATTTATGATAAAAATGCGATTTGTATTAAAAAACCGTCGTATCAAAACTGTTGAATAGAGTCAGTGGCTTTGTTTTACTTCCTATTAAAGGCATTGATTTATACATCACAGGGAGTCTCTAGTATCTAGTGATTTCTTAATTTTTAGTTTGTGCTCCCTGTTATATAAAATAAAATTTATTTATTATTTTCATAATACACCATGCCAAAAATAAACAAATTTAAAAAGATGATTAATATGTACTTTAGCTTAAATTGGTATTTAAAAAGAATAACTGAACAGCTATTTAAATTGTAAAAAAATACAACATAATGAATTGTTTTAAAATTCAAAGCTCAAAATAATTTCGTAATTTACTAGTAATAACCCCTATATATATTGTTATGTAAAACTTACATAAATTTAGTTTATTATTAAAAATAGAAATTTCTTAATAAATTAAACTAATTACGTCTTAGAAAGTTCAAACGTAATTTTATTTGTGTGATAAATGAGAAATAAAACGTAATAGAAGTGGTGAAGAGGAAATTAATTAACAAAAGTTGAACAAGGTATCGAGAATTATCCAGTTCTTATATAAGTTTATAACTAGCGACTCATTGACATTGCGAATTGATAATATGCTGACGAAAAATCGATTTTTATTTGGTTTTTATAAAAATAATACGCATGCAACATATTTGTACATATATAACCTTCCGGAAAAAAACTCTAAATGTTAGTGCAAATTGTATCAAAATCTATTGCCTAGTTTAGAAAAACTAGGCGCACAGACAGACAGATTCGGATTGTGAAAAGATAGATAGCTTTGTAGTATTTAAATATATACATTAAAGAAATATTACTTTTGAAAGAGATCTAAGACTGCTTATATAACAAATAAAAATGAGTTTAAATTCAAAACAAAGTACTTTTACAAGTGTTATAATGTCGCTCTTGAAAGTGATTAAAAGAATCTTGTTATTCGGGCGTTTTTATTGTTTTAGTCTAGACAGAAATAATATAATCGAGACACAGATTTTACTGAAAACTTAAATTAGCAGATTTAATTCGCAATTATTTTTTAATTTTACACGTACGAAGATATGTTATTTGTATTGTGATATTTATGTCATTAGTTATTAGGAAACTGTGATGTATGTGTATAGATATAGAGTTGCAAGAAAAAGTTGAAATAGAATTTAAGGGTGTGTGTTAAGACTAGCGACTCACCATTGCTTCGCTCGGGTTCGTTCCTATCCTATGTCCTTCTCAGGGTCTCAAACTATCTTCTTACTAAATTTCATCTAAATCGGTTCAGTAGATCCAGAGATTACCCACTACAACCTCACATAATCAAACTTTACCTCTTTATAATATTAGTATAGATAAAATTAAATTTTTAGCTCTGTACTATTTGATTTGCGGTAACCGTTTGGAGTAATGCCAAAGTCAATCTGTATATTTGTTTTAATAGACCACAATTCTAGTATATCATGAGATATACGATATTAATTTTTATGAAGTTGCTTTTACTAACACATTATTTTTATTTTCAGATTCCTTGGCAAGATAACTGATGGACGAATCGATTTTTTAATACACTAAGATCGACTGGATAGGCATCAGTCAAAATGGCGAACGAGTCTCAGACCCTATTGGGCATATTTCAAGAGATTTTGGCGGCATCTGACAATTCTTCGGACAAGCATATCAACGAGACGCGTATATTATCAGTTTTAAGAGAACGAGCTTCTAAAGTACATAATGAAAATTTTAACCCGATTTTAGCAAAAGTGGCTTATGTTTTAAACAATAAGCCAGACGGGTGTACATATTGTATGGGGGAGTTTTGGAATGCAATTAAAGTCTACAACAGTATTCATGGATATGTAAGCCTCATAGTAAGTACTTTTATTTAACTTTCAACACTCGTTTAGTATTAAGTGTATTAATATATTGAATATCCCGCGGAATCCATTTCACATATCGGGATGAACAGTATATATCATTGAACTTATAAAGTTTATCTCAATACAAAACAATAATACGGATATATGATCACACTATCAGAACCACTCTCTCACTTATAATACTATGGCGAGAATTTTGAAATAACATTATTACTCGTTGTCTTTAAGTCTATAGCAATGAATAAATAAAATTAGTAAAAATACTTTTTCTCTATTAGAATTATACTATAGTAACTACGTGATTTGATTTTGTAGTTCTGATTTAGTATCAATCTAAGTAGAGTAGACACATTTGTATTCTTTACCACTTTATTTATACGTCAATCGAACCACAAATTAGATGTATTTAGACTATTTAATCTTAAAAGTGTTATTATTTACGATTACGATTATTTACGACACGTTTGGCTCAGTTTGTAGTGACCGTACTTGCTGTGCCAGCGGTCGCGGGTTCGAGTCCCGCTGGGGGCATTCATTTGTGTGATGACGAATGTTTGTACTCCAGTCATGGGTGTTTATATATATATATATATATATATAGGCGGAAATTTCGGCTGTTACTTTCAACTCTAATCAAATGCCATCAGAGTTCTTGCTCAAGTTTTATAAATAAACCCTGAATTGTAATAAGGTACTTAAGAGTTATTGTAAATACACATAAAGTATATAAATATATAACAATTGCAAGCATATTATAATTGTTAGATGTAGATGATTAACATTGGTAAAGTTATGTTTTATGACACCTAAAAAATATCAGAACACTAGGTATAGCGCGCGACACTGCGTGAACAGTTTATTATTGTGTATTTGCTCCACACCTAAAGCTTTAGATTTAAATGGATACTTTTCTCACTAAATAGACTATAAAATGCAAATTATATCGGATAATCAGACTGATAGTTTCAGAGATTAGAGCTTTTAAAGAAATAAACTTTTGAGCTTTAAATATTAGTATAGATTAAATATAGGCAATAGACAAAGAAAAGTATAAAATACCGAAATCATTATAGTCAAAGTAAAATCCACAAAGGGCTCTTTGAGGAGAACTTAAATGAGTTTTTCGTCCGTGAAAATTAGTTCAGCTGTTCCTGTTACATACCCAATCTTTTAGCACAAAGGTTAAAACACTATGGGATTAGACCCAATTCGCTGGTAGATATTTTTCTAAGCCATTTCTAAGCTTTGTAACTCGTTAGGATTACCTGAAATATGAGGTGAAGTTAGCATTAACGATAAACAATGTTGCTAGCTAATCCCTTGGAAATACTGTTAAATACACTGGATAGTGGACAGTGTTCTTCTATACAAGTACATACATTGATTTTATATATGTATATATATATATATATATATATATATATATATATATATATATATATATATATATAAAACAAAGTCGGGTTTGTTACAGCATTTATAACTTGACAACTGCAGGACCGATTTTTATGATCTTTGTTTTGTTCGATTTGTCTTCATCCCAAATAGCAGAATAACTATTAAAACATCGGAAAAAATTACATTGAAAAAAAAAACTATTCCACATTACACTTTTTAATTCATGTATATATGTTACTTTTCTTACTTCACTAGGGACTGCCTCAACCTCGCTTCGCTCGGGTTCATCCCTAGGTACCTTGTAAGTGTTAGTAGGGAATAGATAAACTACTTATATTATATAATTATGGGGCATTTCACGTAAAGCGGACAACGAATATACAGTGAGGTTGTGAAAATTGTTCATACTCTGGTCAGTTATAGTTCTAGTGGACATGGATGTGCAAATACATTATTTTTTTCGTATGATGCTTTATTGCCGAGTTATGATCTTTTAAAAATTTACGAAGTATGAAATTCGTACTTTTTGAATGCTTATTATTTGTATCAATGAATTTGTAAAAATATCTAAAAAATATTGTTTCTTAAAGTTAAAAGGGTGCGTGCGGTTTTTAATTTTTCAATCGAATTACAATTTTGTTTTTTTTACGTATAGTAAACCGGAAGTGAAGATTTCAATTGGATGTTTGAGTAACTTCGACATAATTTTTTTTCAATATTTTACCTTTGAATTAATGCTTTAAATAATTTTATTTCTTAAATACCTTTTTACAAAAAAAAAGTAGGTATAGAATGTACTGAAGGCGACAGACTCAACCAAAAAAGTACTAGATGTGGCGCGCAATGCGATGTGTATGTACTCAATATGCTCTAAATCCTAAACTATTGGCGATCACGTTATAATTTTGTTTGTGAAGAATTAAGATATTCAAAGCTTTAATTCAAAGTTTAAATATTGAAAAAAAATATGTCGAAGTTACTCAAACATCCAATTGAAATCTTCACTTCCGGTTTACTATACGTAAAAAATAAACAAATTTACAATTCGATAAAAAAAAATAAAAACTGCATCCTTTTAACTTTCAGAAACGATATTTTTTAGATATTTTAACAAATTGATTGATACAAATAATAAGCATTCAAAAAGGACGGATTTCATACTTCGTAAATTTTTATTGTATTGTATGTATTTGCACATCCATGTCCACTAGAACTATAACTGACCAGAGTATGAACAATTTTCACAACCTCACTTTATTTTCGTTGTCCGCTTCACGTGAAATGCCCTATATATGTACCTACATGGGTATAGGAAAGCTATATGCTTTAAGAAATAAAGAAAATTATATCCCTTACTTGAGAAATGATTGATTCCCCATGTAAATATCCACCCCTCTGTTTATCCCCTTAAGGGACGATTTGCAGGATAAAACATATCCTATGTCCTTCCCATGGTCTCAAACTATCTCCGTTTCAATTATTTCATCTAAATCTATTCAGCGGATTAAGTGTGAAAAGGTTACGGACAGACAGACAGAGGTACTTTCGCATTAATAATATTAGTACGTAATTAAGTAGCAAGGAAAAAATGTGATTTTTACATTTTTCTGAGTTTATTTTTCTCTTCATAAGAACCTTCCTCGGACTTTAATGAATATTTGAAAAAAAAAATGTTTTTGCCAAATTGGTCCAGTCGTTGTCGAGGTTGCGCTTATCAACACATTTATTCATTTTTATTTATATACTAACGACTCACCCTTGCTTCGCTCACGTTCGAATTAGTTGTTCGTTTTGCCGTCCCTAAGTAAGTACATTTTAACGATTAGTATGGAATAGTTTTTTTTTAAATTTTTTTTTCGTGAATTTTTCCGATATTTTAATAGTTATTCTGCTATTCGAGGTGAAAGTAAATCCAACAAAACAAAGATCGTAAAGATCGGTTCAGCAGTTCTCGAGTTATAAGTGTTGTAACAAGCCCAACTATGTTTTAGATATATACTCGTAGATGTAAATATTTTGAATACTTTTATATTGTGGAATAATTAGATTTCTAGTTATAATTGTTACGTAATTAAGCCTGTTTCGCATAGCTAAGCTAAGGAGCGAGTAGCTTTCACATTAATATACTTAAAATATATATAGGTTTTTGCCTTTTATTAAAATTTGTTTGGACAAAATACGTTTGGGCTATTTTTTAAATGACTCATTAAAGTCGGGTAAAGCCTGAGGGTGAGGAGCTTAAATACTTAAACTTTATAATTATTTCTAAATACTTATTGCTGTTCGCGATCAGCAAAAGAAATGTTTTGATATCGTCTCAAATATTTACATATTATTTTTTCCATTTTATCAGAATTACAACTAATTTTTCAATTTATGTGCAGTGCAGGTGTCGTGTGCAAGAAGTAGGAAGGGGCCATATGATTATCGTAGTGACAAAGTTGTATTAGATTAGTGCGATTGGTTGAGTGTAAGGCTCGATATAATAAAAGATAAAGCACCTTAATATATTAAAAGCTGGCATGGAAAATCTGGCGTCGACAATTTATTTAATAGCATTTAAGAATTAATTTTAAACAGAGTTATTTAAAAAAATAAAATAAAAAAGTACGTATACCATTCTCCTACAATTCTCTTACTGAGATGATAGAAACGAAATCCCTTTAGCTATTATCTTGACAGTTGAAATATGTTATCAAGGGGGATGTTAACGCTGTAAATAAAACTGTGCCACGAAAATCTCTTAGCGATTTTTCTAAAGAAAAAAGGGAAAACATCAAAGTACTAGAAATAATAAGGAAAGAGGGTCTGCGAAATATTGAGAGGTCTGCAATTCACTGAAAAATGATGAAAGGTTTTTCATATTGCCAAAAATTGTACAGTATATATATATTTTCTCATTTTTTATTCCAGTCATAGAATATGTAATTTTGTAATATGAAATAAAAGTAGCTTACGAGTCAAATTTTATAGCAGTTCTCGACGCGTGAAAATATGTTTAGGAAACAAACTTCTGTTTTATCTCTACATATTTTTATTGTTATGTACCTACTTCATATACGTGAATATTAAATACATGGAAAATCAAATGAGAATAAATCTATACATATAATAAAATTGTAATTAAGTCGAATCTGTACATTAATTTTTTTTTGGAAAATCTAATTGAAATAGACATTATTATCGATACAGAGTCCGAATCTATAGTTTTTAGAATTCTTGTCTGTCTGTCTGTCTGTTACCGCACCACGAGAAAACCACTGGACGGATTTTGATGAAATTTGGTATGATGGAGGCTGGTTATCCGGGTCAACATATAGGATACTTTTTATTGCGGAAAAATATCTCATTTCTGAGAAAAAATACAAAACTGCATTTTAAGAGTATACTAATATGTAAAACCTAAGAATTTGGTTTTTGGTCATCTGAACGCGGGCGGAGCCGCGGGCAATGCTAGTAATTAATATTATTTAGGATAATTATATGTACAATGCCATTTGAATAGCGTCGAAATGCTGATGAATAATCGCGTCCATTGGTAGATTGACAGTCAGAAGAGATGTACGTCAGCGGATGACGAATGACGGTAATTT